AAGTGACACAGAAGCATTTAGATAACGGAGAAGGTCTGAAAGGGCACCTACCAGGTTGCTGATCTTAATTATTTCCAGGGGACGGAAATGGAAAAGGAAGACAACAAACAGTTACACATCTTTGAGTTACTTCATTTGTTACACTAAACACTTGTGTAATTAAAATATATATATATATATAGTAAACAGCATTGTTAAAGAGAAGCAACTACTTTGTTAATCTAAAAAAAAACAGGCTGTTTTTATGTAATGCCCATAGTCAGCCATATTAGAAAGAGTTAGTAAGCTCACCAAAATTCCAAAAGCTAATTATTAGTTTAGAGCAGAAGTTTTACGAGTCAGAAACATTAGGTTAGCCTCTGGGGTTTTATAACATTTCTCCTGGCCCTGAGCCCCTATCCAATGGAAGAGCCCAGTGTACTCCTGTGTAATTAAATGAATAACGTGGGTAATAACTCAGCACAGTGCCTGGCCATAGCAAATACTCCACCTCACCATGTGGCCCCATATTACCAACGTAATTTACAGACTACAGAAGGGATTGTCTGTCTTCCTGCTGTAAATATCACATAAATCACTGAAATCAAGGATGCAGTCTCCTCAAAGAGCAATGAAACCCTGTCCTCTGAGCTCTGCTGCCCTGCTCTTCACCAGCAGTCGCCATCTCTAACCCTCTCCCACCAATGCTTGTTCTGTTGTCAGCTGTCATCGAATCAGATCCGACTTATAGCAATCCTGTGTACAACAAAACAACACACTGCCAGCCTGCACCATCCTGTATCATTGCTATGGTTGAGCCCATTGTTGCAGCCTCCGTGTCCACCCCTCTTGTTGTTCCTCTTTTTTCACGGACCCTCTACTTTACCAAGCATGATGTCCTCCTCCAAGAACTGGTCCTTCCTGATAATGTGTCCAAATTATTTGAGAAGAAATCTCATCATCCTCCCTTCTAAGGAGGATTCTGGCTGTATTTCTTCCAAGCCAGATTTGTTTGTTCTTCTGGCAGTCCATGGTATATTCAATATTTGTCACCAACATCATAATTCAAATGCATAAATTCTTCTTTGGTCTTCCTTAGTTATTGTTTACCTTTTACATGCACATGAGGTGATGAAAATATTTCCTATAAAACAACTGCTCAGAAGAAGTTGGGCACTTCCCCAAAAGACGATGCTCCAGCTTTCCAAGCTGCTAGAAACTTCAAAGTTTCTCACTCTTGGTACTGTTGACATTTTGGGCCTAGTAATTCTTGTTGTAGGGGCTGGTCTGGACTTGGCAGGCTTTTTGGCAGCATCCCTGGCTTACATCCCTAGATGCATGCTGTGCCCACCATTGCCCTTGCCACAAGTTGTGACAACTAAATATATTTTCAGACATTGCCAAGTGTCCCTTTGTGGACAAAACTGCTCCTGGCTGAGAACCACAATTAGAAATCAATTCAGTTGTCCTTCAGCTATCTCATGGAGACAGAGGCTAGAACTATATATTAATATCAATGCCAAAAAATGAAAGAAATTCAACCACTAGAAGTTGATTCAAGACCTTCTTCTCCTTAGTAGCAATGTATTAATGTTGCCTGTGAAAGTCAAGTTTTGGGAAGCAACCCAAAACAAAACCCACTGCCATTGAGTCGATTCCAACTCATGGCTACCCTACAGGAAAGAGTAAAAGTGCCACATAAGAAGGTTTCCAAGGCGGAAGTCTTTATGGAAGCAGGCTGCCTCATCTTTCTCCCACAGAGCAGCTGGTGGACTTGAAACACCAACTTTTTGGTTAGCAGCCAAATGCTTTAACCACTACACCACCAGAGCTCCTCCAATAGACTACAGGCAAGGAAATATTAGGTGGGTCAAGGGTGGCTCTATGGCCATGAGAGAGGTGAAAGATGCTTTGGTCAGCTGGTGCTCCTTAAAGAACAAGGTCTTAAATTTATTCATGCAACACAAAATGAAGGAGGCAGATATTGGCTGCTAAGCAACTGATAGATAATCCCATGGCTTTAAGTACCGTCTATGGACCGTGACCCCACATTTTATATTTCTAATCCTCACCTCTCTCATGGTAGCCAGTCTCTTAATTTAACTGCCACTCAAGTGTCTCCACTTGGTTATCATATAAGCTTCTCAAACCCAACATGGCCACAACAGAATAGATTTTTTTCCCCTAAACATGCCCCTCCTAGTATTTCTCATCTCAATACATGGAACTGTCATATACCAGACTGCTCACACCAAAATTTCAAAGGCACCTTTGATTCCTATTTCCCTCAGCTTCCATATCTAATCAGTCAAGTTAGTTCTGCCTAAAAACACATCCCTAATTGGTCCATTTCTCTCTAGCTCCACTTCTGCCATTCTAGACTGAGCCATTATCATCTCTTGCTGGACTATGGCATTAGCCTGCTAACTAATTTCCCTGATTCTTCTCTTGTTCCTTACATCAGGGTTTCTCTATCTTGGTATTACTGACACTCTGGGCCAAGTAATTCTGTTATGGGTGCTGTCCTTGCATTGTAGGATGTTTAGCAGAATCCCTGGCCTCTACTCACTAGATGCCAGTTAGCAACCCTCACCAGCTTTGACGAATAAATATGTCTCTAGGCATTGCCACATGTACCCTAACTCACTGCCGTGGAGTCGGATCTAACTCATAGCGACCCCTCCTTGGGTTTCCGAGGCGGTATCACTATGGAAGTAGATTGCCCAATCTTCCTTCTGAGGAGTGGCTGGTGGATTTGAACCACCAGCCTTCTGGTTAGCAGACAGACACCTTAGACAGTACACCACCCGAGCTGCTACATGTCCCCTGGGGGACAAAATCACCTCTTGTTGAGAACCCTGACCTACATCCACTCTATACACAGGAGCCAGAAGGATATTTTAAAAATGTAAATTGCATAAGGTCATTCGCCTGCTGAAACCCCTTCAAGGTCTTCCCATTGACCTTAGAACAAAACCCAAGCTCCTTACCATTGGTTTACAAAATGCTCTATGATCTGACACCTGCCCACCTCACTAATCTCATCTCTTCCATACCATGCTCGTCCTCACTAAGCTCTAGCCACAATGGTCTTCTCTGTTTCCACCTAACCTTTTGCCCTTACTGTTCCTTCTGCCAAGAATGCATCCTCCCTACATCTTTGCTTGGCTCACTGTCAGTGTCAGATTACTCATTAAGTAACGTAAGCATGATCTTACTTGTCCTTACTAATCTGTAGTGAACAATGTCACACTTTCTCACCACACCAAAGATTCCGCTTCTAGGTATGGGTGGCACCTGTCTCTCTCCCAACCCCATAGCACCTCCCTACAGAATCAAAGCCTCTTTTCAAATTTACAGCCTCTGACAGGGATGGAGTACCCAGTAACCAAGGTAAGCATAGGCTTACAGGTGCTCACTTACCAATCTATAATAAACAGTTACTTATGCTTCCACCACATCTGAAACCCACATGAAATTGTTCACTACAGATTGATAAATGAGCACGTAAGCCCATGCGTATTTTGTTTACTGGGTGTTCTGCCCCTGCTCACTGTTCACAAGTACAACTCTCAGATTGAATGTTTCCGGCTCAGCAAGGCCTTCCCCAACCACCTACCTACATAACCTTCTTACCCTCAGCTGCCAGCACACTGTTTATTTCCTTCATAGTGCTAATCACAATAGAAAACTGTCTTGTTTAGTTATTCATTTGTTGCCTGCCCCTTTATTAGAGAACAAGCCCCATAACCACTGCCCATCTATCAGTTTGTTGTACTTTGGTGGTTTGCATGTTGCTATGATGCTGGAAGGAGCTCTGGTCGCGTAGTGCCTAAAGCACTTGACTGCTAACCAGAAGGCTGGCGGTTCAAATCCACCAGTCACTCCTCAGAAGGAAGGTTGGGCAATCTACTTCCGTCATGATACTGCCTCAGAAACCCAAAGAGGGGTCGCTATGAGTCGGGTCCAACTCGAGGGCACATAACAACAACATGCTAGAAGCAACACCACCAGTATTTCAAATACCAACAATGTCACTCACAGTGAACTGGTTTCAGCAGACCTTCCAGACAGACAGACTAGGAAGAAAGGCCTGGTAACATACTTCAGAAAATCCGACAATGAAAACCCTATGGATCAGCGGAATATTGTCTGGAAAATAAGATCACGCAGATGGCAAAGAAGCAGGAAATGTTCATTCTGTTGTACATGGGGCTGTCACAAGTTGGAGCTGACAGGATAATTATCAATAACAACAGTAAGTTCCATGAGAGCAAGGACCTTGTCTGTCTTATTCATTGCTATGGCCCAGCGTTTAAAATAGTGCCTGGCACAGAGCAGGTAATCAATAAATATTGCTCCCTTCCATCTTCCTCAAACCTCAGGTCAGGTTTCAATGACCTCCTTTCACTTCCCTTCTAGGATTATTATTGATTTTTGTTGTTGTTGTTTATCTCCATCTTTCTTTTTAACTACGTTTGTCCTCTATTACAAAATATGTGGTCGGGGTACCATGTTCAAGTGTTTAGCATAAAGAAAATAAGTAATTTGTTATTCCGAAGCATAAACAAAAGCCAATTCATTAGTTTATGAAGTTCTGTTCCTTGCCCCTCAGGTTTTTAGCAGGTCATAATTACTTTCAGTTTGGTCCCTGTTCCATTAAGTTTGAAGCTGTGAAGGTCTTTTGATCTCAGTCCAAAACTCACCTGGCTCAGAAACTCCAACAGTCATTTTGTCCATCCAGCCCAATTTAGGCTGTATCATAGGCCTGAAAACTTTCTGTGTTGGCTTCAAGGTAAAACAGTCATTGGCTCAAAGGTAGGATGGTCCAAGGTGCAGCGTGATCAAGAACCGTTAGCTGAATCCAGAAACCACAACTTGGCAGTTTCTTGCCTTAATTTATGGGCTGCTTCCTCGAAACCAAAGACAACTGGTCCACCTGGCAGCTGACTGGCTGGAAACTGGAGGCAATTCTTCCCTGGCTAAGGGCCAGGGCCCTCTAGTGGCCTTTGGAAAGCATGTCATGGGGCCATTTTTACATTCTGGCGGGTTGCCGGCTTGTCCCGCTGGGCTGGGCTCTCCACGCGGTGCAGAGACGTCTCCACTCGCAAAGTTGAGGCTCGGACGTGGCGGGAGGACGTTTCCTTGCGCTGGGTGGAGGTTTCCACAAACTGGGAGGACACCTCGAGGACGTGAGGGAGCCGTTTTCCAGAGGGGGAAATGGAAGGCCCCTCGCTGCGGCGCTGAGAGGTCTCCACCCGACTGGAAGACTTTCGCACCTGCCGAGAGGTTGTCTCCTCGAGGTGAGACGATGTCTCCACGCGGACCGTCGAAGTCTCCTTATAGCGAGTCGTCTCCACTCGGGGCGAAGAGGGCTTTCCTCTAAGGGGCGAGGCCATTCTGGCTGTATCGAGGGCCAATGAGGGTCACCTTCAATCAAGCCTCTGAGTTACGACACAGGGTCACCTAGTAAGGAATGGCGTAATGATGACGTTATGTCATCGCAGGCACAATGGTGGAAGACTATGAGCTGTCACAGGGTTGAGTATCACGACATGACGACGTGGGATACTGAAGTTCTAGGGTCTTAAAGCCTCTCAGCAACACATTTAGAGAGGTCCGGCGGACTTGGGTTTGGTCTTCGCACCACTAGCTCACCATTCGCGAGTTTACACAGGCGGGACCAGGGCGGGCCAGACAGGGGTGGGCGGGGCTGGACAGAGATGGGCGGAGCCGAGAGCCTGGGAATGAGGTTCTGCCCACCCCATGTATCCCACACTGCCCCGGGGCAGGAAGGTGAAGGTTTGACTTCCGGAATCTTCCTGGCTGCTTAGGCCAGTTGCTTTGTGGAGTGGTGGCGATTTAGTGCCTTTGCTTATGTTATGGCCGCTGCCGTTGCTATGGAGACAGGTAAGTAGCGCCCCAAGCCTCGAATCTTCGCAAATGGAACTATTTTCGATCCAGACACAATCTCCCACTCCTCCTTGGCCTCTTTTCAGGTCTTACTCCCGGCAGGAGTAGAGTTGGGACAGGGAAGGACAGTGGTTCTTGTAGGGTCTGGTAGGTTTTGCCTTTTCAGGGTTGCGTTCGTTCTCAAATATTTTCTCCACGTTTGCTGTTCAGACACAGACCCTTTTGGCTTCCCGCCGTGGCCGAGACTAAGGGGAGAGGGGATGGATCTTAAGCCACCTCCTTTTTGATCGCTTTTCTGTATTTCAGATAAACTTGCATAAGTTTGAAATAACGAAGACAAACTTGGGTATCATTCTGCTATGATTGAAATTTCTCATACATGCACATACTTCGTGATCTTTCACGCTCTCTGTAGTCTCTTCGGCTCACATTTTGAATTTTTTCCTGATTCAGTACTTAACTGTGTTTTAGTTTAACTTAGTCACTTAACAATTATTAAGATAGGAGAAGGGACAGTTACTACAACTTACCTCGGTAATCACTGCTAAAGTCGCTACATAGTGGCCCACTAGGGGTAGGTACCCTGTCCTGTGTATTCTTGTTTTCTTTGATGACTTCATTCTCACCTTAGAAAAATTCTTAACTTATTCCTTTGAATCAGACCTCCTCTTTTCTTAGACTTCTAAGGAAGGTTTGTCTCCTCCTACACCTTTCTTTATCCAAAAATGTATTTCAGCGAAGTTAGATTTATTTATTACTAACTTTCTACAAAACAGTATTATACACAGTGACCTTTAGTTTGGATGATTTTTGATGTCTTCTGTCCTAGATGATGCTGGAAATAGACTTCGGTTTCAGCTGGAGTTGGAATTTGTGCAGTGTTTAGCCAACCCAAATTACCTTAATTGTAAGTTGTTGAGCACCTCCTTAAATCGAGTACTAACAGTATTTCTGACAGATGAGTTGCAATTCATAATAGTATCTCTTTTATATTGTCCATTCTAATTTAACTGAGTGAAATTATTGTTACTCTTACACTGGTGTATAGATAAAATTGAGCATGCTGGGATTTATTTTGAATACGTTGATAGTGGGGATGTTAAAGTAAGTAGATTCTTTATATTAAGAGTCACAAACCAGTGTCTCAAGGATTCAAAGATTGGTTTGAGCTACAGATTTTTACTTATTTATTCATTTGTGCCTTTCAGTTCTTGCCCAAAGAGGTTACTTCAAAGACAAAGCTTTTGTTAATTATCTTAAATACTTGCTTTACTGGAAAGAACCAGAATATGCCAAGTATCTAAAGTAAGTTTGATTTTTATAATCCTAAATATGTATATATACTTTATTATACTCCAGAACATTGCTATTTAACAGATATCTTAGTTTCACATTGGAAACAAAAGTGTTTTGATACTCAGGACCTCTTTTATTTGCCACCACCTTAATACAAGGCACCCCTTGTATTTGGATTTCAGTGGTCATCTCTTCTTCCACTCACCACTCTCCCCCATTCCCAAGCCAAACAAAAGCAAAATATCATTTTATACACAGAAGCAAATTTGATCTCTTAAAAATGTAAATCAAAACATGTTACTTTCTTGCTAGAATCATCCAGTGGCTTTCCATTGCATGCAGAATAAAATCTGGTCTTTTTTCATGGGCTAAATCTGTCTATTCTGGCCTTGTCTTGCCTGACCTTGTCTCATAGTACTCACCCCATTTCAATCAGTTTCTCACCCTAAGGAACCCTCAGCCTATAAATACAATGACATAGTCATAGGCTGAAAATTAACCCAGAAGAAGGGTACTTGTAGGGAAGGTGTTGTTGAGGTGCCCTGGACAATGGGCAAGGTAACCTTGTGTGACAAGTCTTATAGTGGCTGTCTTTTAACCACAAACTTTTCTATTTTAATGACAAACAACAAACCTTGAACCATACCTTTGCTTTGTTTTTTACCAAACCCACTGCCATCAATAGGGAAGCTTTTTTTTTTTTTTTACATTGTGATTTGGGTGAAAGTTTACAGAGCAAATTCACTTTCCATACAGCAGTTCACATACACTTTGTCTCATGACATTGACTACAATTTACCACAGTGCAACAGCTCCCCTCCCACTTCCTCCCCATAGTTACCTCTTCCCTGTATCCTTCCCTCCATGCACTCCTGCCCCCTGAGCTGTTTCCCTGTGTATAGACAGCCTTTCTATTTTCCCATGATTGTTCTCTCCAAGGAGTGTATCTACCTAGTGTAAATGTTCACCTGATATGCCTGTCTTTTGTTTGACTGGAAGCCACAGGTGTGGGTTCAATTCCAGGCCTGAAGGGCAGCTAGGGGCCATAGTCTCAGTGGTTCCATCAGCCTCTATCAGACCAGCAACCTGGTCCCTTTTTTTCCCAAATGATTTTGATTTTGTTCCACATTGTTCTCCTACTTTATCCAGGATCTCCTTCATAGATCCCCCCCTGAGTGGTTGACAGTGGTAGCGGGGCACTATCTAGTTCTTCTGGTCTCATAGTCATATAGGCTGAGGATCTCATGGTGTACCAGTTGCTTGGACTTAATTTTTTCCATGAATCTTTGGTTTTCTTCATTCTTCTTTGCTGTGGACAAAGAGAGACCCATCGTTACATCTAGATGGCTGCTTGCAAGCTTTTAAGATCCCAGTCACTACTCATCAAAGTAGTATTAGAACAATGTTTTGTGTAGTATGTTATGCCAATTGAGCTTGATATCCCCTGCGACTGTGGTCCTGAGCCCACAGGTCCAACTACTTGCTTCCTCTGGATAGCTGGCTGTGCCCAAGAAATGACTACAATCTTGTCCCTTGTCAGCTCTACTATACACCTGTAAATTCTTACAAAACATAGCAATACACTTGTAGAAACATTGTCTGCCAAACCTATACATGGTGTTGGGCACACTCCCCTTTGGACAGACATACCTAATAGTTCTGCCTGTCCACCCATCTGTCCACCGATATATTCATATTTGCCTAATAGTGAAACTTTTTGTCTTTTTCTTTTTCTTAAAATCACAAGTTTGAGAGGAAAATGTTTCAGACTTACTCTTTAAGCAAGTTACTTTTCTGATCTGTGTCCAATAGCAATTGACACACAGAGCCTACATTCTCAGGCTACCCCTGGGACCCTTTGCACCCTTATTGGCTTTTCGTAAACAACCACTTACTCATTTAATAATCCAATGAAAAGACTTTTTTCATTTGTTTGCAACGTGTTTAGTTAGACTTACAGAGTCGGTTTTAGACGAAGCCTCAGGCACTTTCCTATCTAGTGATAAAATATGCCTTTTTGTAGCTTCAAACTTTTGTTTCCAGTTTTGTCCCTAGATTAATCTAGAACCAGCCTGTACCCACTTGATGATATCCTTCCAGATATTTAAATTCAGGTGAGGTTGCAAATTGATGTCAGTTGGGCATTTCATTTGGTCTGCAGAAGGTATTAATTTTCTTTAATAGTTGCCAACATTTTGTCTAGATTTCCAGCTGTTCTTTAGAATCTGGAAGATCTGGTAGCTTCAGGTCTTCATTCTCCTAAATTATAGACTGGCTGGAGCTGAGAAGCAGCTACCTCTTGTATACGCTTTCTACCACTTGACCGCTATTAGCCATTATTGACAGTGGTACTCTGTTTTTCTTACCTGTCTTCAGCCATTCCTCAAGTGCCATGGCTTCCAGACTCCTCATGAGTTCAGGTGCCCTCCTTTGGGTATTTGGCAGTTGTGCCATACATTATTCTTCACACAGATTCTCTAAATGTTAATAACCACAGTACAGTTACCAGAACCATTGATACAATATTATTATCGCATCTACAGACTTCATATTTTGTCAGTTGTCTCACTAATGTCTAAAATCTGGTACAGTTTCCAGTCCAGGATAATTTATTGCATTTAATTGTCATATCTTCTTAGTCTCCTTTAAAGTGACTTCCTCAGTCTTTTTTTTTCTTTCATGACCTTGACACAGAAGTGATGTTCTATCTTTCTTGGTGTATCAGGAGTCACATGAAGTTATTTTGACCCACTACTGTGGTGGTGATATTTGATCCCTTAGTTAAGGTGATGGCTGCCCATTTCTCCACTATCAAGTTACTGTTTTTTCCTTTGTATTTAGTATTTTGTATGGAGAGAATTTGGAACTATATAAATACCTTGTTTTATATCACTAATTGTAGCATCTTTTGAAGATTCTTGCTCTAAACAATGTTTACTTTGGTGATTTTCTAACTTCTTCATTCATTCTACCTTTATTAGTTGGAATTCTCCTGTAAGGAAGAATATTCTCTTGTCTCTGATGTTTATTCACTTCATTTTTATGGACTCTCGGGTTTTTATTTTATCTTCCGGATTATAATTATGTATTTTCTTGCTCTGATTATTCCAGATTTGGCCATATGGAGCCCCTTCAAATTGGCTCCTGTGTACTTTTGACATATTCTCATCATCTTTTGAGAATTTTTTTCTTTCTGGCATTACATAAATATCCAGCCTCATCTATTATTTCCCTACCCTAGCCCTGGAATCAGCCCTTTCTCCAAGGAACCCTGAGAAATGGTATTTAAAAACCACCATCTGGGCCCTAAGTATGCTCTTTGGTACCATAGTGTCATTGTTCCTGTGCCCTCTCAACACACAAAGCTAGGAAATACATGGCTACACAAGGCACACACACATCTGTATTTCTCTTTTATATTACGTTAAAAACCGTGAGTTCATACTGTTTGCAATTCCTCCCCAGTAGAAAAGGTTAATCTAGCCTTTCTCCTTTCCTTATCTGTAATTCCTTTTCTCATAGCCAGGAGTTTGGCTCTTTATTCACAATATACTTTCTTGCTCAATGTCAGAATTCATCATTTCAGAATTGCTATATCCTTATGGAACACTTGATTATTTGTACATAGTTCTTTTTGAAATTCATTAACTTTTAAATGAAAAGTTCTCTTTTTCTCACTGTTGATGGAAACCAGTACTTATCAGTTAAACACATAATTGCTAAAATAATGTTCATGTTACTCACTTTGGAAACCACTAGAAGAGTAACATGAGTTAGCCCCAAATATTGACACTATTGACAAGAAGTTAGCATGGCCTTGGGCAAGTTATTTAATCATTATGAACTTAAAATTTTACCACTTTTGAAAATTTTGCTTAATTCTGACTTTTTAATGACTTAGCTTGTCTTCATGGGGGGGGGGGGAGGGGAGGCAGGATGACTATATACCACCAAAGCGTACTTAAGTTAATGTTAGGAATGGTAGGTTGCAAGATCATATTTAAATGAGTAAAATGAGTTAGAGCTTGACTTTACTGACTTAAATATGTTGTCATTAACTTATAAACTTAAACCCAGGTATCCTCAGTGTTTACACATGTTAGAACTGCTCCAGTATGAACACTTCCGTAAGGAGCTGGTGAATGCTCAGTGTGCGAAATTTATTGATGAACAGCAAATTCTGCACTGGCAGCACTATTCCCGGAAACGGATGCGTCTTCAGCAAGCCCTGGCAGAGCAGCAACAGCAAAATAACACATCAGGAAAATGAAAACTGGATACAGAGCAGGCTTTTGAGACATGTATATAATTTGTTTCTTTTGTACAGTGAAAACTAAAAAAGACTATCTACTTTTATTGTAGTAGCACCTAGACCCTTTAGTGTGCTATTTAATCAACTTTTTATTAATAGATTATTTCTGTTATACCAGAACTGTTTTGAGTTCCCTGTGGATTTGTAAGTATTTATTAGTTTTTTAAGTCAGCTGAGTAAGAATGGAAACCTCAGATGCTTTGGACCAACTCAGTGGTGATGGGTAGGCCAGGGCTACCAAATATATCACTGTAAATAGCTCTGCTCTTGACATACAGTGGTACCTTGGGCAGTCCATCTCCTGGAACCTCATTGTCTCTAGGATGACCGAACGCTAGGAATGGAGTCAGTGACTCTTAATTATACAGCAGGAACTGCATAAAGGTTCCAGAGTGATACATATTTGTATTACCACTTGCTTTGCAAGGTAGCTGTAAGGAAGAATCACTGGTATGTTGCTGTCTTTGTGGTGGCAGGGAGAAGACTGATGGTTAACTAATTGTACTTTTAACCTTAAGCTAGAACAAAGATGTGGCGCCTCATTTGGGAAGCACAGACATGTCGTTGACAGATACCACAAACCAGGCACTAAGTGAAGTGTTTTTTTAGGTTCTTATTTAATGCTCAGGGTAATTTTTGTTTCTAGAGGAGGAAACTGGGGTTTAGAGCAGCTAAGTACCTTGCCTGAGGGTACACAGCTAGTAGGTGGCAGAATCCTTGTGATTGACTCAGGAGCTGGAGTGCACCTCACCACTAGGTTAGTCTCCCCTCTGCCACCTACCTCATCCCAAGTGAAGCGCGTTCACACAGCTGCAAAACAAACTGTCCGCATTGAGCAGAGGCAGCATCAGAGGTTCTGTGCTTTCCTTCAGTGATTAAGTTATATTCTAAAGCCCACGAAAGGGTTTTAGGAACCAGTTGGTTTCAAATTCATGGAATTTAGGAAAAGGAAATCCTAATCCATTCAGAAATCTGGAAGTTGTCTACCCTAATATTAAGGGCTATTAGATGTTTCTGTGGTCTCCAGTAAGTAGTCTTATATTCTTAATTACTGCCACTCCTGAAGACTTATTTTACCCATATCTTAAAGGTAACCATATAGTGCAGATGAAAGGTTTATGAACATTTTAATAGTACACTTCTGTTTAGACATACACCAACTTTATCTTACACCATCGTATTTATTTAATAAGCAAATACGTAGTGTCTAGAGTACAGTTAAAACAGCAGGCCATCATCAAATCTTAATCTTCAGAGAACAACATCTCCACGAGGCTGGCCTGAAGACACTCAGATTCCACCAGTTTTTGAGGCTGTAATAGAAGAACAGTCAAATCTTAATCTACTGCTACAAAATGTTAAAAATGTAACGCACTGTTCTACTTTGAATGATGCAAATCTTTGAACACAAAAGTTACTGCCATTCAGAAACTACCAACTGGCCAGAACAAGTTTTATGTAACTGTTTAAAATATTTGCCTCAAGCTGAATCATTAAAATACTTAGCTCAAGGGACTTACATCCAAGATACCAGGAAGCTCCATACAGTGAAACAAGAGACAGCATGCCTGGTGCCACCCTCTTCTCAACTCTTAATACCAGGTGCATGACTGAACTGTCTTTTCAGTCATAACTATGCATTAAATGGAAAACACTATTAATGCTAATACTTTCAGGAGTTATGAGTTAGTCAGCTTTATTGAGCACTGCTTAAACAGTTTTGCTTTTTTTTCAATTTTTATTGTGATTTGGGTAAAAGTTTACAGAGCAAATTCATTTTCCATACAGTAGTTCATGCACATCTTGTTTCATGACATCGACTGCAATTCCCCAGAATGTAACAGCTCTCTTCCCACTTTCTCCCTGTAGTTACTTCTTCCTTGTGTCCTCCTTTACCAGGCATTCCTGCCCACCCCCCAAAGCTGGTTTCCCAGTACAAACACTGCCCTTCTGTTCTCCCACAATTGATCTCTCTAAGGAGTGTATCTACCTGATGTAAATGTTTGCCTATATGCCTGTTGTTTGCCTGGAAGCCACAGGAGTGAGTGCAATTCCAGGCCGGAAGGGTAAGGCCATATAGTCTCAGGTCTCACCAGGCTCTATCAGACGAGTAAACTTAGTCTTTTTTTATGATTTTGAGTTTTGCTCTGTATTGTTCTCCCACTCTATCCAGGATGATCTGCACTGATCCCTTTTCTTGTGGTTGACAGTGGTAGCTGGGTACCATCTAGTTCTTTAAAGAGTTGTTTTTAAGAATGGGTTTTTTAAAAAAAGCATGGAAAAGTCCTAATATTTAAATATCTGCATTATTAATAGTGTACTGGGCCTGGCCGTAGGGATATAGCCAGGTTTTAAGGTTTGAATGCACCCTGAGCAGCAAAGTGATGTTTAGGATGAAAGAACAAAATCTTTTAGAATTTGAACCCAGAACAGTTAAGACATTTTTGACAGTGTAGAAACAATAGCCCCAAAACACTGAAAGAAAAATACTCACTGTTCCGTATCTAAGTAGTGTAGGCACTGCAGTTACTTTCAACTTTTTTCTGAAGTCATTATTTGGGTCTTTCCAACTATTCCAAAAATAAAGTGACCGTGAAAAAAAAAAAAAGATACATATCTTTATATATTCCTACGTTTAGTCAATTCTTGTAAACATTTTAAAAATCTTGATTATGACTTATTATGGGAGCTCTGGTAGCATAGTGCCTAAGGCACTTGACTGCTAACCAGAAGACTGGCGGTTCAAACCCACAGCCACTCCTCAGAAGGAAGATGGGGCAATCTACTTCCATAGTGATACTGCCTAGGAAACCCAAGGAGGGGTCGCTATGAGTCGGGTCTGACTATAGCATATAACAACAACATGATTACTCTGCAAAGTTTTCATTTAAAATATGACTGAGATACAAAATAAATGTAAAGCTAATTAAGTTCTGAATGGACACCACGCCAAATTCATTGAATTACCTTTACTAAATACAAATGGCTGGAAATTTGCATTTTAGTAACTTCTAATTGTTTTACTTATCCAACTTTACCTCACAATGCATAACCTTTCTGCCTAAGTTTGTGTATCTGTGAAATACAGTATTACATTGCCACTTACTAAGGTTTTTCTCCTACTTGGCAGTAGATGAACACACATCCTTCACAAATATGCTTCAGACCCTCTCGAACGACTGGTTCAGCTTTAAAAAAAGTTGATATAATTACACATCAACTCTACAATAGGCACAGATAAACAGCTTCCCTCTCCCCTCCCCCCAATCTTGTTAAGTAATCAAACTTTAGCCTGAAGTGAGAAGGTCAGCAAACGTCGGGTGCTCTTAGACCCACGTTAAAGGTAAGGACCAAGTCCAAGTCTTGATTGCTCCCACTCCACAGCGCCAAAAGCAACGAAGGGCCCAAACACTTGCTGACTGATCGAAAGGAGACAACTCATATTCTCCCTAAGATGGTAATCATACTGGGGAAGTGAAAAATGGCTTGCGGAAGTTGATAACAAGATCATCTGGGTCGGAATGAATTGATAGGTAGGTCAAAAGAAGACCGCTCTCGGTGGGGCGGGGAAGGACTCAATAGCAGGAAAGAAGGAAACGGTAGGAAAAGGAGTCGACATGACAACTCAGATCGCCCAGCGGATCTCTAGACCACGACTCCCTCTGCCTCTCCTCAACCCAACTCTGGTCGTGGCCTCAGTCTTTCAGCCATTTATGCTAGGCAGCAGCCCCCGAATCCCGGTCTCACCCAGCACGCAGTCGGGGCACCAGCTGTTCCCTCCGGCGTCCTTAGAACCCGTGAAGTATGCGAAAATGGTCTTGCCATTGTGCTGCTCTACAGCCTGGTTGAATTCTTCGAAGCCGGACACACGCACCTCCTCGTACCGGGTCATCAGCAGACAGCGCCCAGTTCTGGCAGAACTCTAGCTCCAGCCGCCGTGGGGCGGGACCCACGTGGGGCGGGACGAAGGTGTTTCCGGGAGGGCTAAGCGGGTAGAGCTATTTGAAGAAGGCTACGGGAGCCTCTGGAGGCCAAAACTCGTCCGCATCGTCTTTTTGCTCTCGCTTCCTGAATATTTGGGTGCTAATTCCACTCTTAGTCTTTAACTTCCCCCAAACTCAGACTTCTACCCCAATCTGGTCCTGCCCCTGGCTCCATGTACACTGGCTGCAAAACCTGCTGCCTTAACCTGGACCCTTAGGTGTCTCAGGAGCATTAACGGTTCCCAAGCCGCCCTGCGCCTGTTGCTATGGCGACTGGGCGAGCGGCCGGAAGCGAGGCCTAGTAGGGGGTTCTTCCCCTCCTCCCGGTAGCCGCGCCTCGCCCCAGGCCAGGTGGGCTCGGGCCGGGGCTGGGGGGATTCTGGGAAGCTGCGTTAGGAGTCACGACCTGGGGGGAGAGGCCACTTTGACCCGGTGCTGATCCTGCCGCGTTATACCCTCCCCTCCAAACTACCTTTTCTCCTGTTCAGGCTTTTGAGGGGTCCCGGACTTGGGGGGCGGGCGTCTGGGATTTGGTGGGGGTGGGGCAGAGTGGGGGGCTGGGAGGGAGAAGGCTGCGAGGGCCGGTGCATGTGTGCGGCAGTTCTGGGAGCGAGGTGACTAGGAAGTGCGCTCTGAGTGTGTTGGGGAAGAAGGGAAGTGGCGTGGAGCTATGAGCAGGGCGACTGGCCGTGGGCCCTTGCCCAGGCTGCGCGAGAGCGAGCAAGCTGCCGAGATGCCAGCTCGTTGTGTGGGGCCCAGCCGGCCTAGGCGAGGAGTTCGGAAGCCTTGGGGGAAGAGATGGGCTGCAAAAGCGTCCCGAGGCAGGAGAACCAAGCGCCGGTGGAGGTTCTCGGTGTGGGGAACTGGCTGTATGAGTGCAGAGAGACTGCAGGAGTGTCGGTGGCCACGGGGAAGGAGACCACCTGCGGAGACAGCGGAGGCTGTTGGGGCAAATGAGGCCTTGGAGACACCTGGGACTGCAACGTCGATTGAGATTGCAAGAGACCCAGAGATTGTGTGGATTAACGGGGTGGTTGGGGAACCCAAAATTGTGGGGCCTACCGGGTCTGTGTGGGTGACTGGAATTGGGGATGAGGAGACAGACTATAGGAGTCCTCGGGGTTGTGAGAGAAAAGGTCGTCCTGGATTTCTGGGGCACGGGAGCATTCTGGAACTGTGGTTGAAGGTGCAGGCTATGAGGGCAGCTTCAGGATGTGGGGAAGAAAGCAGAGTTGAACTCTGTCCTGTGCCAGCCGGGGAAGGGCCAGTTGAAAGGGGTGTTCCTGGCCGGGCTGCGTGGGTAGAGACAAGCCGTGGTGGTCTCACAGGTCCGTGGGTGAAAGGACAGGCTAGGGCAGTCCCGCGCGCCATAGGAATGCCTGCAGTGGCAAGTTGTGAGAGACCCTCAGGTTTGTGTGGGCAGGGACAGGCTAGAGTGCCTAGTAATATGGATTCAAGTGCTGGGCTAGCCCTGTGCCTGTGGAGGAGGGGGCACGCTGTGGGGATGCATGGATGGGAGGAGATTGGTGGTGGCCTTGCCCCAGGCCTTTGGGGAAAAGGACAGACTAAGGAGGTGCCTGGGTCCATGGGGTGCCCTGAGGCTGCAGGGGTTCCCAGAGCTGTGGAGGAAGAGAGAGATTGTGAGGCTACTCCAGGTCTGTGGGGAAGAAGGCAGTCTACACAGGTACCTGGTGCTCTGGGAGAGTCAGTTTGTGGCAATACCTCAGGCTTATGGGGAAGGCAACAGGTTATAGGGGTGCCTAATGTGGAGGAGGAGACTAGGTCTGTGGGTGCTTCTGGCGCATGGTGGAAGAGACAAACTGTGGAGGAGACAGGCTCTGGGGGTGTTCCTGGCCTGTGGGGCACAGGACAAGCTGTTGGAGTGCCTTGTGCTGTTGAAGAGGAAGCCAGATATGGGGGTGACCCAGGATTCCAGGAAAGGGGACAAGCTTTGTGGGTAGAGACCGGCGCTGGAGGTGACCCAGAGTCATGGGGAGCTACTCAGACTAGAGAAGTATCTCGTACTGGTGAGGAAGAGGCAGATTCTAGGGGTGCCCCAAGCTTGTTGGCCATAGAACAGTCTATGAGAGTACCTAAGATTTGGGGGGAGGAGACAAGCTATGGGAGTGTCCCCAGTCGGTGGGGAACAGAACAGCCTGTGGAGGGGGCCCAGGCTGTGGTGGTTCCCCAGGCCTTGGGAGAAGAGACAGGCTATGGTGGCATACCAGGCCTGTGGAGTAGACAGCAGGCTCTGAGGATGCCTCCAGCTGAGACAGTGCCAGGAGCTGTAGAGGAGATGTGCTGTGGGAGTGGCCTGAGCCAGTGGGAAAGGAGGCGTGCCATGGGGGAGCAAGAGACTCTCGTGCCTGCAGCTTTGGGGGTGTCTGGGCCTGTAGATCAAGAGACTGGCTGTGCAGGTGTTTCCTGTCTGTGCAGGAAGAGACAGGCTGTGGGGTTGTCTGAGATGGTGGGGATACCCGAGGCCGTAGGTGTGCCCAAGCACAGGTGTACTCCAGTCGGGTTTCCCACAGCTGTGAACGTGCCCAGGTCTGAGAGTGTGCCTGCTGCTGTGTGGATGTCTGGTCCTATGGGGCAGGAAAGTAGCCCTGGAGATGCCTTGAGCATGTGGGAAAGGGTTCGTACTGCCCGAAGGCCCATGGCTTCAGGGATGCCCATGGTTTCTGAGGAGCTGTGGTCTGTGGGGGAGGGTACTGGTTCTGGGGCTTTCCCAGGACCATGGGGAAGGAGACAGGCTGTCAGTGTCCCCGTGGCTCCCAGGGTTTCTCTGGAATCCGAGGTGCCTGGTCCTATGGGCGAGGAGCCTGGTTCTGGGGGTATCCCAAGATTGTGGGGAAAGAGGCAGGCTGCTGTGGCTACTGAAGTACCCACCCCTTCTAGAGTGCCTGGTCCTCTGGGTGTGGAGCCTGGATCTGGAAGTTCCTCAGGCTTGTTGGGAAGGAGACAGCCTGTACAAGTACCGGTGGCTGTAGGGGTGTCCACACCTGGCGGGGTGCCCATGGTGCCCAGGTGGCCTAGACTTGTGCGGGATGAAACTGCCTCTGTAGGTGCCTCTGTAGGTGATGCTGGTTTATGGGGAGGGAGAGAGACTTCAGGAGTACCTGCAGACTCCACGGGTCCCACAATGGGGTTGCCCACATCTGCCGGGATTGCTGGGCCCATGGGGCAAAAGACTGGCTCTGGGGGCATCTCAGGCTTGTCAGGAGGGAGAGTGACTGCAGGGGTACCTGTGGCTTTGGGGCTGCGTACAGCCACCATGCTGCCTGGGCTTGCAGGGGAGGAGATATGCTCTGGGGGTCTCTTGTGCTTATCAGGAAGAAGACAGACTGCTGGGATGCCTGTGGCTGCTAGAGTTTCCATGGCTGTGGGAATGCCCACAGGTCCTGGGCCTCTGGTGGAGGATTCGAGCTCTCAGGATGTCTCAGGCATATGGGGAAGGAGAGAGGCTACTGAAGTGCCCGTTGCTGCCAATGCCGCTGGCCCTGTGGAAGCAGAGACTGGTTCTGATGATGTCTCAAGCCTCTGGAGGAGACAGGCTAGAATAGGCCCCGAGACTCTTCGGGGGCCTCAGTCTCTGGGGGTGCTTGCTGCTGTGGGAGTACCGGTGCCTGGGCAGGTGCCTGCTGCAGTGTGGGTGACTGGGTCTATAGAAGAAACAAATGGGGGTGTCTCAGACCTGACAGCAGTGAGAAGAGGGTCCACAGAGGAGCCTGGGGCTTTAGGGGAGGAGACAGGTGGTAGAAGCATCCTGGGACTGGCAGGGACGAGGCAGGCTGGGGGGATGTTGCATACTTGTGGAGATGGGGCCAGGTTACGGGGCTGTCCAGGATCTGTGAGAGAAGAAACAGACGATGGGAACGATCCAGGAGTGTCAGGGACAAGACCGACTCTAGGGATACCCGAACCTGTGGAGATGTCTCCAGTTTCAGGGGAGGAAACAGGCTTTGGCCATTTCAGAGGTCATCCACAGCAGAGGGCCAGGAGACAGGCTGGAGGAGTTTCTGGAAACGGAGTGAGGCGGAACACTTTGGGAGAGAATTATGTGGAGGTAGAGAGATTGAGAGGGGCATCCCAGTAGTATGTGTAGGGAACAAGTTTGGGGGGATCTTGGGGCTCTGGGAGGGAACATGTTGGGGGGAGGATTGTCCTAGGTTATGAATGAAGGCACAGGTTGTATCTCAGAAAAGGGGAGAGAGAGAGTTTGTGGAGGTATGCTAGGGGATGCAGGGATGCAGGGTGACAAATAGGGAGGTTTCCTGGAGTAATGGGGAAGGGATGGGTTGCAAGGTGAGGGGTGTCCCAAGACTTTGTGTAGGGAGCAATTAAGGGTTTGTGTGTGTGTGTGTGTGTGTGTGTGTGTGTGTAATGTCACTTGAGGTATCCTGGAGCTGTGGATCCTAGTCTTTTCCTTGTGGAAAATGGATTATGAGGCCTTAGGCACATGAATGCATCCAGGGGAAGTATTGGCCACGTAAAGGTTGCAGGTGCCCTAGCCCACTTCTGCAGCTCCATTCTGCGGACTCCAGCACCTGAACTGTGACGGTGTCAAGCCATTCAGGATTGCCTCGTTCCTGTGCCTCCTTCCGTCTGTTTTGTTTTGATCCTGTCTCAGCAGCCTTAGAAATAAGGAATCTTGGACAGCTGCCTTTCTCCTCCTACAGATGTATCTGTCTTTAAGCAAATCCAGTCTGCAAACCTTGAATTTATTCAAAAGCTTAGAGATTTTTTTAACCTTTCCCAAATGATTTACTGTAGAATTCCTTGAGAGAACAAATTCCCCAGTGCATTTAAAACTAGTCAGTTTACAAAAATACAGCGTAGTTCAACAACTGTTTGTCTGCTATGCTCAAAGCACTGTGTTGTGGGAAATAGAAGAGCAAGACAAGGCCTTTCCCCTCAAGGAACCTTGTCTAGCTGGGAAGATGAGACATATACCTGTGAAATAGGTAAATAACCATATGAGCCAATACAGTGTGTGTGAAGCACCCTGATGAATGTTAGCAGTAGTAGAGTGTATAAGGAGCATTCAGAACAGGGAAAGGCAGTGATGTTTACAAAATACTTTCGTATCTGTTACTGTGTATATGTATAGGGTGGTGGGAAGATGGGAAATAGAGGATTTCAAAAAATTGTTCAGTAAGTAAGTTAATGGCAGATCCTAGCTGAAGTCCAGGTTCTCTGAACCTGCAGGTCTACTTAGTTAGAGCCATTCTGAGTTGTGTCCATTTGGGCTGCCTGATAAAAGTAAGGTGTATTGCTCTTTGACTAGTCTAATGCAGACTATATGTCCATAAAACCATCCTACTAGAAAATGCTAGATTACTATAGCAGGGCTCTGTTTGGAAGTAATGCCCTACTGGAGACCTTTGAGATTTGAAATTTGGAATGAAAAAGAGTGCAAGAAATTGTCATTAAAATAGCATGCCCCACTCTTTTAGAAATGAGAATTCCAAAGTGTGGTTGCTTTCATAAATGGAAGAAACTACGATACACTTAAATAGTCACTCTTCAGTAAGAATATGTTATGGGCTACTTCTAGAGTATTGTTACATGTGCATGAGCTTGTGTTTTCTTTATTCTTTTCCTTTAAAACTATTGGTTTGAAAGTAGCTTGCTTTCATTTTAGGCAATGGTTTCAGGGAAGATCTATTGGCTGATGAGTAGGTTTCCACTCTTGTTCTACACCATCCAATGTGATGGGACCAGGCAGACCTGCTCCAACCTGTGTTCATCTTACAGCTGATGCCCAACTAGATGGGAGGTGTGACCACAGGAAACTTCAAGCCCAGGTAGTCTTTTCTTTTTTTAACTTTTTATTATGGAACATTGCAAGTATACAGAAAAGTTGCAAGAAAAGGACATCGAACACCTTTTAATCCACCTTCTAGATACAACACTGGCTAATTTTGCCCAGTTTTTCTATTTGCTCACCTATCTAAAGTTTTTGCTGAACCATTTCAAAGTAAGTTACAAATATTATGAAAATTCTAAATATTTTAGACTGCTTCTACTAAAAATAAACACTCCTCCTTAACCTTAATACCATTATCATATCTAAGAATACTGACCAAGAAAAGCTAATTACCTGATATTAGCTAATAGTCTTATTTGACTTTACCCAGTTGACGACCCTAAAGTGCCTTGAAAGTTAGAAGAATTTTATAGTGAATACCTGCCATTAATATTTTGTTGGTTTTTTTGGTGACATATTTATTCTTCGACATAACCCTCTAGAAATACATCTATCAATCCTTATTTTTTTACCTTTTTCAAAGTAAAATGCAGACATTGGTATCTTAAATACTTTATTTTTCGTTTTTAAAAAAGTTTTTATTGTGATTTGGGTGAAAGTTTACAAAGCAAATTCATTTTCCATACTGTAGTTCATACATAAGGAGTTCTGGTAGCGTAGTGCCTAAGGCACTTGACTGCTAACCAGAAAGCTGGTGGTTCAAACCCACCAGTCACTCCTCGGAAAGAAGATGGGGCAATCTACTTCCGTAGTGATACTGCCTTGGAAACCCAAGGAGGGGTCGCTATGAGTTGGGTCCGACTCGACGGCACATTAACAACAACAACAACAGTTCATACACATTTTGTTTCATGACTTTGACTGCAATTCCCCACAGTGTAATAGCTCTCTTCCCATTTCCTCTCTCTATTACCTCTTCCCTGTGTCCTTCCCGCCCCATGCACTTCTGCCCCCCTGAGCTGCCTCTGCCCTTCTGTTCTCCCAAGATTGATTGCTCCAAGGAGTGTATCTACCTGATGTAAATGCTCACCCTGTATGCCTATTATTTGGCTGGAAGCCACAGGAGAGAGTTCAGTTTCAGACAGATCTGAAGGATAACTAGGGACCCTAGTCTCAGGGGTCTCACCAAGCTGTATCAGACCAGCAAATCTTGTATTTTTTTTTCTGATTTTGAGTTTTGTTCCACATTGTTCTCCCACTTCATCCAGGCTCTCCTGCATCAGTCCTCCTCCTACTGGTTGACAGTGGTAGCTGGGCACCATCTAGTTCTTCTGGTCTCATAGTCATATAGGCTGAGGATCGCATGGTCTACCAGTCCCTTGGACTAAGTGGAAGACCCCAGTCGCTACTCACCAAAGTAGGTTGTAGAACCATGTTTTTGTGTAGTATGTTACCCCAGTTGAGCTTGATGTGCTCTACAGCCATGGTCCCAAGTCCACAGGTCCAACTACTCACTCCATCAGGTGTATCCTAAATACTTCAGTGTGCAAATCATTTACTTTGATTTTAATCCTTGCTTACAGTTTCGTTTCTTTGGATGTAAAATTTACACTACAGTGCTAACATCTTAAGTCATATTTGTTGAGGTTTAAGATACACCAGCCACTCCTCGGAAGGAAGGTTGGGCAATCCTACTTCCGTAGTGATACTGCCTTGGAAACCCAAGGAGGGGTCGCTATGAGTCGGGGCCGACTCGACGGCAAACAACAACAACAACAAGATACATACTCATATAACCCACATCTATATCAAGAACAGATAATTTCCATGAGCTCTGAAAGTTCTCTTATACCACTGTCCAGTCAGTCCTCACCGTTAGCCTGCAGAGGAAACCACTATTGAGGGTTTTTCTACCATAGATTAGTTTTACCTATTCTAGAACTTCATGTAACTGTAATTAGTGTGTACACTTTTGGGTAAGTCTTCTTTCACCTCGTTTAATGCTATTTGTGATTAACCTACGTTGTTACGTGCATCTGTAGTTCGTTCCATTTAAATTCCATGGTACGAGTGTACCAGTTTGTTCATCCATTCTCCAGCTGAGGGGCACCCAGGCTGTTGCTAGTGTGGGCTTTATAAAGAGAGCTGTTAAAATGTTCTTGTACAAATCTTTTTGTAAACATGTTTTCATTTCTCTTGAGAGTGAAATTCCCTAGGAGTGAAATTGCTGAATCCTAGGATTGTTGTTGTTTTATGCTGTCGAGTCGGCCCCAACTCACAGCGACCCCCCCGTGGGTTGCCAAGGCAGTATCACTACAGAAGTAGACTGCCCAACCTTCCTTCCGAGGAGTGGCTGGTGGGTTTGAACCGCCAGCCTTCTGGTTGGCAGTCAGGTGCCTTAGGCACTCTGCTACCAGAGCTCCTGAATCCTAGGATAGGTGCAGATTTAGTTTTATAGGAAACTTTCAGCCCTTTTTACAAAGTGATTATACCATTTTGTATTCTCCCTGACAACGTAAAGGAGCTCCAGTTGCTCCACATCTTTAACAACACTTGGTGTTGTGAGTCTTTTTCATTTTAACCATCCTGGAGGGTATATAGTTAGTGTATATACTTGTGTGCATATACACATGCAAACACATGTATTTTGTATACAGAGCTACACTCACATACCTCTACATCCACTTCTTTCTTTCTCTCAGGTAAACTATTTTTCTGTCTGTATAACTGAAGTAAAACCCATGAGTTCACACAGGTATCTCCAGTTTAAGTCTGTTGTTGTTATTATGTGCCGTCAAGTCAGACCCGACTCACAGCAACCCCTCCTTGGTTTTCAAGGTGATTTCACTACGGTAGTAGATTACCTAACCTTACTTCTGAGGAGTTGCTGGTGGGTTTGCACCGCCAGCCTTCTGGTTAGTAGTCAAGTGCCTTAGGCACTATGCTACCAGAGCTCTTGTTATTTTTTTAAAATTGTTTTTTGACATAATTTCAGACTGACAGAAAAATTGCAAGAAAAATACACAGAATCTCTGGATAGCATTCTGCCAGATTCCCCATATCTTTAACATTTTTTATATACCTCTCTGTACACACACACACACATTCAGACAGACACACATAAATGCGTATTATTTTCTGATCTTCTGGAGTAAATTGAAGACATGATACCCTTTTACCCCTAAGTTCTTGTATGTGTTTCTGAAAAACAGGGAATTTTCTTATACAGCCATAGTATAATGATCAAACTCGAGGAGTTAACGGCTTTATGGAGGTTTTGTCACTTGTCCCAATAATATCTTTTAGCAAAAGAAAAGCCAAGATTGAGAGTTGCATTTAGTTGTCTCTTTTATCTCCTTTATTCTGAACAGTTTCTATATTTCATGACATTCACATTTTTGAGGAGTACAGGCCAGTTGTTTGAGAATATTCTCTCAGTTTGGCTTTGGCTCATGTTCACTCTTCATTAGATTTAGGTTAGGCATTTTTGGCAGGAAAACCACTGAAATGACGCAGTGTCCTCCTCAGTGCATAATACCAAGAGACGCAGGCTGTAGATTCTTCCCACTACTGGCAGTGTAACTTAAGGCATTGGATTAAGACGGTTTCTGCCAGATATCTCCATTGTAAAGTCACTCTTTTAACTCGTATAATTAAAAAGTCTCTGTCTTTGAGGTTTTGTGAATACCCTTTTATTTCTCAAACTAATGCTCTAGGTTTAGCATTTATTACTGATTCTTACCTGAATCACTTTTTTATTATGGTGGTTGGCAAATGGTGATTTTCTAACTTCATCATGCCTTCTACATTTATTAGTTGGCCTCCTGCTGTTTAAGGAAGAGCTTTCGCTTCCGTCTATCTATGCTTATGTGTGTACTACTGTGGGCTTATGCATTATGTTATTTAGTAGGTTAGATTCTTTACTATATCATTTATTTTTATTTTCAAATTTACTCTGATTTGGCCAGCGAGAGTCACTTCAAGCAGACTCCGCTGTCCCTTTGACACATTCACATTGGTCTTAGATCACTTTTGGGCCCACAGACATATTCCAGACTCTGTCCTTTCCCTGTCCAAGCCCTGGAATCAGCCATTTGTCCAAGGAGCCCTGATCCCCTTCAGTGGAGAGAGCTATTTAGAAGCAAATATCTGGGTGCTAGGTATACTTACTACTACTGGGATATCATTGTTTCTGGGCCCTCTCAGAGAACAGAGTTGGTAAGTTCATGTATATACTTCTGTGTGTACAACATGCAAACACAAATGTTTCGTATACATAGACACTTATATCCACTTCTTTCTATCACTTAAGCTATTTTTCTGTCTGTATATCTAAATAGGGAGCTCTGGTAGGATAGTGCCTAAGGAATTTGACTGCTTACCAGAAGCCTGGAGGTTCAAACCCACCGGCCACTCCTCAGAAGGAAGGTTGAGCAATCTAGTTCCGTAGTGATACCACCTCAGAAGACCCAAGAAGGGGTCCCTGTGAGTCGGGTCTGACTCAACAGCACATAACAACAGCAACATATCTAAAGTAAAACCCATGAGTTCCGACAGGTGTCTCCAGTTTTAGTCCAGTACTTTCCATATTTATGATCCCTGGCTCTAATAGTAGAGACCTGGTTTCCATTATCTATGATGTATTTACTCACTCCTAGAATGCACGAATACTCAGCCCATGCCTTTGAAAACCTAGAAGCGTACTAGAGTTCAGTATTTGTTTTGAGTGCTTTTTATCTTTAGCCTGAGGACATATAGTCCAAAAACCATGCTCAGAGTTTTTTTGGGTTAATTTTTTTTCACCTTCCCTTTTTAGTGTGCTTCTGTTACTCATTTGAAATTCCATTCTAGTCATTTATTTCTTCTCGTGTTCATTTGTAGGGGTTTCCCCCATCCTCATGGACTTTCTTTTCTTTCTCCTCCTTCCTCCTGTTCTTGTCTTTCATTCTGCTATGTGTCAACAATTAACACAGTTCCAAATGTACCTGTATGAAAAAAACATCCCTTCTATCTTTCCCATCCAATTCTCACTTACACCCTGTAACTAACTAATATAACTAACTAATCTCAGTCTCTGGTTTGTCTTGCCTGTGGTGG